TCTTGAAAAAAACCATAAAAGAATGGCAGAGTGTCTTAGACAGTGAAATATGGGAACTTGAAGTGGCTGAGGAAGGTCTTTTTCGCCCCTTAATGCTTAGCTATTTTGATTTACCATCACACTTGAGGCAATGTTTCTCATATTGTGCAGTCTTTCCAAAAGATTATTTGATAGAAAAAAATCAGTTAATTGAGTTATGGATGGCACAAGGTTTGCTTAAGGGGACCCAACATCGAGACATGGAGATGGTAGGGGAAGACTACTTTAATGACTTGTCAATGCGTTCTTTTTTTCAAGATTTTGTAAAGAATGAAAATGGTGACATTATCAAGTGCAAAATACATGACATAGTGCATGATTTTGCTCAGTTTTTGACAAGAGGTGAGTGTTTGTCAATGGACGCAGGAAGCAGTGATAGCATTGAAGGTTTCAATGAAAGTGCTCGTCATGTGATGTTGATGATTCAAAATTCTGGTGATGGATGTCCTACTCGTATTTATGATGCTAGAAACTTGTGCACTTTGCTAGTTGATTCTGCTGGAGTTCGTGAGTATGATGTAGATTTACTGAAGTTGTTTGATAAGCTGAAATTCCTGAGAATGTTGAAGTGTCAATCTAATAGAATTAAGAAATGTCCAAAACAGGTAGGGAATTTGATACATTTAAGGTCTCTTGACTTGTCAAATAATGAATTTTTAGAGGAATTGCCTGAGGCTGTTTGTGAATTATATAATTTGCTTAGACTAAACATTAGTCTATGTGTGAAGCTTAGAAGTCTGCCTTGTGGAATGGGAAATCTAATAAATTTGCGGCATCTGCGGAATGCGTGTACAGATTGTGTGGAATTCATGCCTAAAGGAATGGAGAAATTGACTTGTTTGCGAACATTAGGTTCTTTCGTGGTGGACAGTGGTGGTAAAGGAGCTGCTCTTAGTGAATTGGGAAACTTGATTCACCTTCGAGGGAGCCTTGAGATAAGAGGATTGAGAAATGTCAGAGATGAGAGAGAGGCTGAGAAGGCACAGTTACAAAATAAGAAGGGGCTCACTAGTTTGGTTCTGACAATTGGTTCTACTTGGTCTGATGAGAGCCAAGTTTCTGAAGCACCTGTTCTTGTTCTTGAAGCCTTAGAGCCGCCTTTACACTTGGAAGGTTTACAAATATGGGCCTACAGATTCCCAACCCCAACCTTAGGGGTTTGGCCCAGTTGGATAGTGTCTCTAACCAAGCTGAAGTACTTTGTGCTCAGTAATTGTGTCAACGTTGAACAGTTGCCTCCTTTGTGGAAATTGCCATCACTGGAATCGCTCGATCTGGAGCACATTGGAGGAGTGAAAAAGGTGGGAGTTGAATTCTTGGGAATAGAAACGTCATCTTTGTCTCCATCTTCTTCTTCGTCAGCTGTTGTTGCCTTTCCCAATTTAAAATCACTGAAATTTGAAGAGATGGAGGAGTGGGAAGAGTGGGATTATGGAAGCAGAGGAGAAGAGGATATCAAAATCATGCCACATCTTTCTTCCTTGGCGATTTTCGGATGTGAGAAGTTAAAGATGTTGCCGGATTCTATTCTCCAAAGTACTACCCTCCAGGATTTGCAAATTTATGGGTCTTCAGTTATTTCAAATAGCTGCAAAGGGGAATACCAGCCCCATATCTCTCGCATCCCTAAAGTGGACATCTTGTGAAAACCTCAACTCTGCACAGGAGCAAGGTACTTCACTTTTGCTTATAACATGTTTAACTTTTTTATTTTTGAGTGAGCGACAAGGCCCGTACATATTCAAATATTATTAAATCAAACACTTTACTTCTATGCAGAAATTGTTTAATGCCCTAAAACATGCAGTAATTGATTCTTTTGTATTCTTATATATATATATATATACATATATATATTTCCCATTTTTGTGGTCAAGGTGCATTACATTTACGGTTGAAATCTAACTT